ATTACGCTAATTGTAATGATGGTAGTAATAGTTGTCCTGGTACTGTGTTAGTTAGTAGTACCAACACAATAAGATATACTGTTGATATCACATGGGATGGAATGACTGTCAGTAGTGGATCAATCAGTCAATCAAACACTGGAAATCAAATGTATCAGTGTGTAGTACAAGTTACTGATCAGCCTACTAGAACACGTAATATAACTATAAAAGGTAACATAATATGTTTGACTTTTAAATACTACTGTATATCTTTTTATTAGTTCCAGCAACTGCCCCCTCTTCCCTTACTGAGGTCAACAAGACAGCTACCACTATCACTGTCAGTTGGACTGCACTTGATTCATCTGATGCTGATGGATATGTAGTCAATGTCACTAGTGACACAGACACTGTGCAGACAGTACAGGTGGAGGGAAGTAGTAATAATGCAATCACACTGAATGGACTGAGAGGAGGAACAACTTATAACATCACAGTCAGAGCCTATCAACAATTACTGGGACCTGCTAGTACAATCAGTGTACAGACCTTACTAGGTATTGCTACTGCACCTTTTAATGTACTTGTAACATTGTTGATGTATTTCTAGTTATTAATTCAATTGATTGGACACTAGTCTCATCCATTACACAACTCAATAACACTCAATATCGTATTGATTGTCTCACAACTACTGATATAAATCCTTCAACTTATGTTTACTGGTTAGTGAATGGAGTGATGAAGAGTAACTCAATGTATACATCAATTGATGTCCTGACATACAACAATACACTACTGGTATATCCTGATCCACTGGGAGTGTCAGTTAATGTTACCTGTATAGCAATGATTGGAGGAGTCAACTACAGTCAATCTGTGATATTACATGGTATAATTATACTTTTATCAATAGTAGATACCTTTGTCTCTTTTCTAGCTCCTAGTGGTCCTCCAAATAATGTGAGAGGGTTTATATTAAATGCTACTAGTATCAAAGTAAACTGGACCAATTCATCAGAGACTAATGGATATGTGATTGAGTATACTACTGGAGGTGTAGCCAGGAATGTAGTATCTACCAGTGAAGATGAAATTGTACTAACAGATCTCTCACCAATGAGTACCTATACCATCAGTGTGTACTCATATATAGATCTTCCTTCAGTTAATAGTACAGTAACAGTGTTAAGATTTGATGGTGAGTTATTATGATTGAGAGAGTGTAATTGATATCTGTTGTAGTTCCTAGTCCAGTAACTAGTCTCTCAGTATCTAATGTCTCAACCACTGGTATTACAGTGAGCTGGACTATTATTCCCAGTAGTGACAACTATGTAACATACTACACCATCTCCTATACTCCATCTTGTCCCCAGCTGTCATCAATAAATGAGACAGTCTCTGTTGGTCCTCATCAGTCCACTACAACATACAGTTATACATTAATAGGTCTGTACAGTGGTATGAACTATACCATCACAGTGAGAGCTAGTAA